TCAGATGAGAGTTTATCCGTGAACACGAACACAAAAGGGCCGCATGGATGAAGAGGGATCGTCCCAGTCCTGTGTAGTCTGAAACGTATCTCCTCATAATCCCTGACTGATTTAGAGATAAACAGATCGCCAGCAGTCTCATTCTGTTCCATTTTTTTTTCAATCAAACCTTATTATGTAAGTTCTTCCTACAAAGAAGTGGTTGCTCTGCACTTCCGTTTGACATCCCGAGATTAAAGCAAATATTAACTGTCCGTTCACAGCCGAGTCACATGATCCACCGCGTTGAACTTCACAACTCCAGCTACAAGTTAAAGCCTCGCTGGTACGATCAGGATCCACTGTTTGAGTGTTAGCGTCCAATCCTATTGCTCCACTGTCACGGCCAATTTGTCGATCACCTTAAATTAAATAAGGTAAAAAGTAAAGTAAAATCCTTTATTTAAAACACGATTATCGTTTAAGCACTACATGCTTGTGGTCGTGTATCTAATTAATTATCTAATCACCTACTGATAAAATGAATGAAATATAGGAATTAACTTACTTTATCGCAAATCTGATTTCCCTAATGAACACCTTTGTAAGCTTAAGTGACGTACAAGACATTCTCTTTCGAGTTCAAGGCTTCCCCCACCCCCTCCATATGTTATCGAACTAGCGTGAGGTCCGCATTGGAGAAACATAGGTCGAACTCTTATTTCTTTGCAGGTTTGTGGACCGAGCCGCAGGCGAGATCCATAAACTTGCAAAAAAACAAGAAAAACAAGATCCAATATTTTCCAATATGGACCGAACAAGCAATAAAGTACTTTTTAATCTGCTGATAAATTGATACGTCTCTATAATCCATTTTCGGTACTTAACCAAAACTGCGCATTTTGCGCAATGAATGCAAAAAGCAATGCGGCGAAATTAATTCGTGAGTGGTCCATCCCAGTGGTGTGTATTGCAAAATTCGGACCGCTAAGGGAACCAATCAGAATTGTCCTTTTCATCTCAGACCAGTTCAGTCATATGGTAAATTTAACAAATTGTCGTCAGTGTTTTATGCGTCTGTCCTCTTATTGATGATAAATTGCGTCATAACATTGTCAAAGTGGCTGTGGAACCAGAAGCACAAAAAAACTGACGTCAATTTGTTTTTTTATATAATAACAAGACCCCAAAATGGTCAAATGCCGGGAA